TTGACAGTAGGCCAGGTGCAGCGGCCAGGGAGGCAAGTGGAGATGATTTTTCACTCCGCGCTTGGTAGATCGTCGGCAAAGGACGCGATAGCGCCCTCGACGGCTTCCAAAGCAATGGCGAAGAAGCCTGAAGGAGGTGAAGTCAGGTTGCGCTTGGTGGAACGTGCTGCTGCAAGCCCGATAGAGGGTCGTTTTAGGACGCTGCCGGAAGCATCGGTGGTGGACGCTTTCCTGGCGATGTCCAGCAAGCAACCGGGAGCTCAATCGATTGGTCAAGGATTTCATCAAGAACGGTGAGGAGGGCTCGGCGTCGCGCAACTGCCTTTGTGGGTTTGCTCCACCGCTGATGGCGGTAGCGTCCAGCTTGCGGACGTATGCGAGCAGTTAAATCCTACCAGTAAACGGCACGCTCCACCCGTCACACGACGGCATGCGCATTGAAAAAAACTTTTCCATCATCAAAGAAAAATTACTTCGTCATCGAAAAGAAATTAATTCTGCTAGCAAGTCAGCAAGTTAGCAAGCGCACACCCCGTGCCCAGTTAGCAAGTTGGTAAGTTAGCAAGTGTACACCCTGTGCCCAGTTAGCAAGTTGGTAAGTTAGCAAGTGAACACCCTGTGCCCAGTTAGCAAGTTAGTAAGTTAGCAAGTGTACACCCTGTGCCCAGTTAGCAAGTTAGTAAGTTAGCACGTGTACACCCTGTGCCCAATTATTGATTTAGTAAGTCAGCAAGTGTACACCCTGCGCCCAGTTAGCAAGTTAGTAAGTTAGTAAGTGTACACCCTGTGCCCAGTTAGCAAATTAGTAAGTTAGTAAGCGTGCGCCCTGTGCCCACTTAGCAAGTTAGTAAGTTAGTAAGTGTACACCCTGTGCCCAGATAGCAAATTAGTAAGTTAGTAAGCGTGCGCCCTGTCGCCCCGTGCCCAGTTGGACAGTTTGCAAGTTAGCAAGTTAATCCTGGCCCATTGCTGTAGGAACTTAGTCAGTTAGCCAATTAGTCAGTTACTTAGGTAAGTAGTTAGTTAAGTAGTTCGTTAGTTAGTAAGTTTCCCAACCTCAACCATCCTTCTTACAAACATCATGGGGGGGGCTGCCGCCCACCCAACCCCCCGCCAGCTTTTGGCGAAGAACACGCTTCGCTGAATCCCGCCCTTTCCAACACATCATGGGGGGACCTGCTCGCAGCGTTATGGGGGGGACTGCCCCCCCCCCCCCCAACCGCTCTGCTAGCTTTTTGCCGAAGAATACGCTTCTCGGAATTTAGACCCCTTCTTCTTAGAAGCTGTTTTGTGAGGACAGCAGGGCATAGAATTTAGAACCCTTCCTTCTCATAAGCCGTTACGTGAGGAATGCAGGGCGTAGAATTTAGACCCTTTCTTTTCATAAGCCGTTGCAACAAACAAATCTCGACGCATTCCAAGCCCGTCCTAAACCATCCTGAAGCCGACCCCAAACCAACCTTGAAGCCCCTGAGCCAACCCTAAGCCAATCTGCCCAGCCCCAAGCCTTAACTACTCCGAAACCCCTAATCCACCCCCCCCAAAAAATGTAAACCAACCCTCAAGCTGGTATGGGATGAGCGAATCCTCGAATCTGAATTTGCGCAAGTTCCGCGAGCGATTGATGCACACTAGTTAGACAAGCGATGAGGCTTAGGACCCGGCCGCTGCAGCAGTTGAAGTTTTGGGGTCCTAAGTGGGTCATTTGGCCTTGTGAAAATGTGGCAAACCTCACCAACTAGCAGCAGCTGCGGCAGCTTGGGGCTCAGGCGGACACGCAGGCGCGATGTACTCGGATTAGCAGGCCAGCCGGAATGGATGGAAAAAGTGCTCGCAAGGACGGGATGTCCAGCGAAGCGAAATCTGCCGGGGCAAGCTCTTCGCGCAGGATAGCTGCCAAATAGTTTGTTCCATCTGCTCGCTTCAAGAATCTTCCACTGTGACACACGCAACGCTTCCTTATCCTTCTCTGCCTGGCTGCGCACTCTGCGTTGTTTTGCGGGAGGCGCCAGCTGCTGACAACTGGATGCTGCGCCTGAAGGCAGCAATATGTGTGGCCGTTGGGGCACGGCGCTGTCCACAAAGGTTGGAGTTCAAGGCCTCCGCACTGGCTGCCCCGCACAAGCAGCTAGGAACTCACCAATGCCCGGACAGACGCATGAAGCGCACAGCCTAGACAGCTTGCGCGGGGACCAGTAGTGGCGTCCACACGTCCTCCCTCCATTCAGCCCTGCGCCCTTTAGGTTAAGGCCAAGATCTGTGGCCAGAACCCAGGACGAGTGTGCATATCAATATCGGCTGCGAGAACAACGCTGCGTGGAAGCGCTAGTCGCAGACGGTAAAAGCGTATGACCTCCATAGCGTTCTCTGGTGTCAGCAGCCCAGCGCAAGTCAGTGGTAGCGGAGCACCAGGATGGCGCCAGAGTCGGTGCGTTCAACTGCTTGGCATCAGGAAAGGCGCGGTGGTGCTGGGCAATGCGGGCTCCTGGGGCAGCCGCTTCGTGCGAGCCCTGCACCCTTTAGGTTAAGGCCAAGATCTGTGGCCAGAACCCAGGACGAGTGTGCATAGCAATATCGGCTGCGAGAACAACGCTGCGTGGAAGCGCTAGTCGCAGACGGTAAAAGCGTAGGACCTCCATAGCGTTCTCTGGTGTCAGCAGCCCAGCGCAAGTCAGTGGTAGCGGAGCACCAGGATGGCGCCAGAGTCGGTGCGTTCAACTGCTTGGCATCAGGAAATCTGTGGCCAGAACCCCAGGACGAGTGTGCATAGCAATATCGGCTGCGAGAACAACGCTGCGTGGAAGCGCTAGTCGCAGACGGTAAAAGCGTAGGACCTCCATAGCGTTCTCTGGTGTCAACACTCAGTGGTAGCGGAGCACCAGGATGGCGCCAGAGTCGGTGCGTTCAACTGCTTGGCATCAGGAAAGGCGCGGTGGTGCTGGGCAATGCGGGCCTGGGGCAGCCGCTTCGTGCGAGTCGGCGGCGTCATGTGCAATAGTTCCGGCACTGTCCCTCTCCTCTCCTCTCCTCCCCTCTCCTCCTCTTCCCTTCTCTTCTCGTCTCTTCTCTTCTCTTCCCTTCTCTTCTCTTCTCGTCTCTGCTCTTCTCTTCTTTCTTTCTTCTTGCTCCTTATCTTCGGTCTTCATCCTTGGCTGATTTTTGTTTGGTCTATCTTCTTTACTATTAGTTCGTGTTGTTCCTTGTTTGTTACTGTTCGATCTTACAGGCTATATTTTTCTTCTTGTTTTCTTTTCTCTCTTCTTCTCTTTCTTCTCTCTTCTTCTCTTCTCTTCTCTCTTCTTCTCTTCTCTTCTCTCTGTTTCTCTTCTCTTCTCTCTGTTTCTCTTCTCTTCTCTCTGTTTCTCTTCTCTTCTCTCTGCTTCTCTTCTCTTTTTCTGCTTCTCTCTCTTCTATGTCTCTCTTCTCTTTCTCTCTCTCTCTCTCTCTCTCTCTCTTCTCTTCTCTTCTCTTCTCTTCTCTTCTCTTCTCTTCTCTTCTCTTCTCTTCTCTTCTCTTCTCTTCTCTTCTCTTCTCTTCTCTTCTCTTCTCTTCTCTTCTCTTCTCTTCTCTTCTCTTCTCTTCTCTTCTCTCCTTCTCTGTCTCTCTCTCGTTCTTCTCTTCTCTTCTCTTCTCTTTTCTTCTCTTCTCTTCTCTTCTCTTTTCTTCTCTTCTCTTCTCTTTTCTTCTCTTCTCTTCTCTTCTCTGCCTCTTGTTTTTTCTCTTGTTTTCTCTTCTCTTCTCTCCTCGCCTCTCCTCTACTGCTCTCTTCTCCTGTTCTTTCTCTTTCCTCCCTTCCCCCCTATCCTGTCTTCGTCCTGCTGCGCCCGCCACGGAACCAGCCACCCGCAGCAGCCAGCCCCCAACTATCAGTTCGTGTTGTTCCTTGTTTGTTACTGTTCGATCTTACGGGCTATATTTTCTTCTCTTGTTTTCTTTTCTCTCTTCTTCTCTTTCTTCTCTCTTCTTCTCTTCTTTTCTCTCTTCTTCTCTTCTCTTCTCTCTTCTTCTCTTCTCTTCTCTCTGTTTCTCTTCTCTTCTCTCTGTTTCTCTTCTCTTCTCTCTGCTTCTCTTCTCTTTTTCTGCTTCTCTCTCTTCTATGTCTCTCTTCTCTTCTCTTCTCTCTGCTTCTCTTCTCTTTTTCTGCTTCTCTCTCTTCTCTCTCTCTCTCTCTCTCTCTCTCTCTCTCTCTCTCTTCTCTTCTCTCCTTCTCTGTCTCTCTCTCTCCTTCTTCTCTCTCTTTCTTCTCTTCTCTTCTCTTCTCTCTTCTCTTCTCTTTTCTTCTCTTCTCTTCTCTTCTCTGCCTCTTGTTTTTTCTCTTGTTTTCTCTTCTCTTCTCTCCTCGCCTCTCCTCTACTGCTCTCTTCTCCTGTTCTTTCTCTTTCCTCCCTTCCCCCCTATCCTGTCTTCGTCCTGCTGCGCCCGCCACGGAACCAGCCACCCGCAGCAGCCAGCAACATCTTGGGGCGCCAGACAAACGCCCGCGTCCTTGGGTGATTGCCTGCTTGTGCCTGTTTTTTTTGATGACAAACATTTTTTTTGATTGTGTAGCCTCATATGACGGGCTCCTCGTGAGGGGGGTGTGATTAGCCATGTGTTGGAAGTGACTACCGGCATGTTGCGATAGCAACTATCCGGTGCCACTTTGGCTCAAGTTTGCGGGTCCGTCGCGCCTCGGATGAGCGTCACCGGGTCCCCGCGTCGATCACCTTCGTGTCGGTGGAGAAAGAGACATCGGCCCGGGGCAGATTGGTGGGGTCCGCCCGTGCGGTTCATCGTCGATCAAAGTTGCGGGTATTTGCATTCTTGCTTTGGATTATTTCCCTTTTGGTTGTTGTTCTCTGTGGCTTGATTACCCCAACTTACCCATTGCCTGGGCACAGGCTCGTGCCCGAATCATGTTTCCGTTGTCAACAGGCTGCAACTTTGCTCTCAGAAGTTTAGTCTTATGGAGGGATCTATGAGCCTTGATATTTGGTTCTCTCGATCCACGACCATCCAAGGAAATTGGACTTGAGCCTCAACGACATTGGCGACACGGGGTAGAGCTGGCTTGATTGTAAGCAGCCAGTGTGTGAGCTGCGACCACAGTTTGATTACCACACATTCCGTTTCGATTCATTTCGATTCTTTGTTGAAGCACGTCAAAGGAGAAATGGGTTACAGCAAGATTGTAGCTTGGTTGAATTTGATCAGGTTGCGGGAGTTGTCCAAGTCGATTCGCGCCGCCTTCCTGCTGAGGGTGTTGGCCAGTTCCTCAGACTTTGTCCAGTGCTTGTGGGCAAATTTGGCACCGCCAGGTTCTGGACCTGAACCGCAACCGTATTGCCGATGCAGGCTGAGTCAAGCAGTTGCATTTGCTAATATAATACAGATCTCTCTCCAGAAGCATCCGGTTGCGCGTTTGTGCATCATCCACATGGTTTGCTCGTGCGCAGGGGTTGGCTGCCTTGCTCAAGTTGTGACCTGGCTGCAAGTTTCCCTTTTGGAAGAGTCCGATACTCATGACTCATGACTGGCATAGACTGGGAGGTGCGCGAGTTGCCGGGCCTTTCTGAGCTGCAAGTGTCCCTCTTCGACAACCGCGTCGGTGAGGCCAGGCCGTTAGGCCGCCCCCTGGGCTTTAGGAAGGCACTTGGCACTTGGACAGTCTTGAAGACACTTTCGCCCAATTGTGGCTGTTTCTTGAGGGTACTCCTTTTTTGGCGTTTTTGAAGGAACACTGAAAGGAACACCTCGTTGCTTTTTCAGTTTTTGCGACTAGGATGGAGCCCGACAGCTTGCCGCTGCCGTCAGAGGCCTGCGAAGGCCGATGGGAGGTTTAAATGAATCGCGCGTGGCGCAGAAAGAACGACGAGGGTGGAACAACCGTCCCGCAATTTTGACGGAACAGACTGCTTCCACTGCTCGTGTCACACGTCTTATCCTGCGCAGCAAAGAGTTGTCCTTCCACATGCAGGCATCGTAAATCGCAAGGCTTATCTGAAGTGTTGTCAGGCTCTCACGGCTGGCATTGGGTCTGAACAGAAATGCGGCCTTGGCCTTTGCAGACACAAGACAGTGTGACACAAGACATATGCTTTGCTCGGTTGCCTTGATGCTGTGCCGAGGTTTCGGAAGTTGGGGTCCAGGCTGGCACAGACTGCTTGCGGTTTTATTCGAGCAGTCGGAGAGTGCTGGAGGACATTGCGCATGCAGTTGGCTCTCACAGCCTTCGTGCGTTGGAGTGAGAGCCCCATGCTTCTGCTGGACATGTACATCGGGTTCACTTAATGTTGCCATTTTGCGTGAGGCTTGACCTGAGCGTCAGCAGCGTTGGCTGGGCAGGCAGCCTTGAGTTCCAGCTTTACGCATTGCCGTGTGTCCAAGCAAATTCAGCATGAGTCGCAGGAGCTCATGACTTGGGCATGGCAATCTCCTCGCTCCAGGCTTTGCATGGTTCGTTGCGACTTGACACACATGTTTGAAAGAGGCACACTGATTTCAGACCATGAGCTGCTTGCGGTTTCCACATTTCGAGACGTATACCGCCTGTGGTCATGCCAGGCCGCCAACCTTGGAAACAGCGCACACTTCGTGACAAACCAATTGACCACGACTGCCCGAACTGCGATCGTTTGGTTCTCCATTGCCTGTCCTTCAATGTCTCGGCCAACCTGGAGGTTAGCATGCCAGTGATGCGGGTGGTGATGGTGTGCGGCCTTGTTCCTTTTCGCTTCTTATCAGTCAGACTAGGATATGGCCAGTGCTCTCCTCTTGCGTCCGAATGGCATGCACTGATGCATACGGATAGCGTCACTAGATGCTCGCATGCTTGCTCCGCGTAGGCGCGCGCCTCAAGGCCAGCAACGGCTATTTGATTTTGAAGGCAAGTTTGAAAGGCATAGTTCCGAGAAGGGGCATCAATTTGGTACTTTGAACGGCTTCAAAACAAGCTAGCGCCATCAAAATGAGCGCTTGTGAGTCTGAACATGCAATGATCCATCTTGGCCCAAGCCCCCCCAAGTTTCTTGTCGACTGCAGCGCTTTTGTAAAGCGCTTCCTGACATCAGTAGGAGAACTGTTCCCCCCCACCCACCTTCCTGCTACTTGATGGCAACAGCCACTCAGGTCAACTCGAAACCAACCCTATTAGGCCAAGCCAAAATCACCCAAACCTAACCCTAAACCAACTAAGTACTGAACTCTATGCAGTGCGCAAACACAGTTATAGTTGTGAGAACAAAGCCCCTGCTGAAGCATGTGCCGGATAGTCTTTCTGCAATGCACCGGAGCTTTGAGCACTGTTCTTGTGGCTTGGTGCGGGCTATAGTAGGCACAGTCCATCATCATCATCATCATCATCATCATCATCATCATCATCATCATCATCATCATCATCATCTTCATCTTCATCTTCATCTTCATCTTCATCTTCATCTTCATCTTCATCTTCATCTTCATTATCATCATCATCATCATCAGATGGCCAGTGACAGATTGTTCCACTGATGGTCAGCGTACTGTTTCTGATGGAGGGTTGGGGATTTCCAACTCGGGGTGCACATGATGAATGCAGACAGGATCTGCAGAGCCTGACCATTGACCTGAACGTCAATCATGTAGGCATTGGTTTGGGTTGAGGGCGTGCAGATGTAGCATGCAGTCTCACCCTTGCTTCTTGTTTGTTGTAAGGCTCTGCCGGTGCACGCCTTTTAGCACAGGCCAGAGCATTCACTCGCCAGATTCATTGGCATGCGTTGAATTCAGAGGCGATTTCTGCACTTCAAGGCCTAGTCAAATCCTGAGCAAGGCCTCATACGAATGGCGTTCTTGCTGGACTGAGGTCAGCCTACGCCTGCTGGCTTCTGGGAACCGGATCCGGGAAGTTGGTGCCAGAGAGTTGGCACAGGCAAGGTGTTTTCGCAGCCGAAAAGGTGTCCCCATGTCACCAGGCATTGGCTGGCTTGCGCCAGCTTGCCAATCTAGAACTGGATGTGAGCGGCAATGGAATAGGCCGGGCTTTGATCAGGTCCATGGAGATTGGTGAATCCTTGTGAATCCTTGTTCTTTCTTCAAGGAAGTGCTATTGAGCAAACGACACCATGCAAGGAGACCCTGGTGCCTGTGAATTGGCTCGTGCCATGGGTGGCCTTCACGGACTCGGCAGGCGCGTTCTCGAACTTGCCAGTTCTCGACCGGCTTGACTTGCGGGATGCCCCCATTGTATGCGGGATGTAAGAATTTAAGAATCTATGCTCAGGAAATGAGCCAGCACACACACACACACACACACACATCTCCTCCGGCTTTGGTGTCAGAGTTTTGGAGTCGATACTTACGTTCTCGTTGATGTCCGCTGGCGGATATTGCTCTGGCATGGAGGGACAGCAGTGCTTCTCTGGCTGGGTGTTGCACCACGTTTGTGGCCAAAGAAAGTCAGTGATTGGACCTCCATGTGTACATATAAAGGCGTGCGCTCGACGGGGAAATCATTGTGGACATTGAATTGATTTGAGAGTTTGGCTGAGCTGGACTCGGACCCAGTTCGAGGTCAGAATTTGCTTGTGGCAGCTTTTGCTTTGTGGAGCCTGTGGCAGTTTCTTCCATTATGCTAGTTTTTGGGCATTGCCATGAGGCAAATGCGAGCGTTTGTTTGGGACGCGGCTTGGTGGCCAGGTTTAATCTGCAAAGTGGCCGGCGTTTAGCTTTTGCCAAACACGAACCCACAAGAGTCAGAACAACTACATGTTTGGAGCCCGACATTTGCTTTTGATTGAACGAGTCAAATGCAACGGAATTGATGTGATCAGGTTGGTCGCGGACCTTCGAGGGAACTTGGTGGGAGATCATGGCGAGCGTGAACTGGCCAGGGCCGTCGGGGTGCAAATCTTACATTTTTCTCGCTTTGTGTGATACAACAATATTTTCGGCATGCTCAGCGATCACCAACCATCAATCCACTTGGTTTTTGCAGTTCTGTTTCAGCTCAGGAGCTACCACGCTTGGAGCGGCTGGAACTGCGACTGGGTGGAAACTGCAGGTCTTCTGGAGCAGGTCCCCTGCATCACGAGCTGAAGAATGCAGTGCCGCGCTTTGTACGTTTTGCAAGCTTTGCATGCTTTGCCTCCGCTTGCTCCCTGGCATGAATTCCATGCAAGGTGCAGAAGCTACAGACCGGCGGCTGCATTTGCGACTTTTCCTATTGAGAGTCTGCCAATTAATACTGTTCGTTGGCTAGACGCGGAAAAAACATGCCGCACAATTGGCAGACTCTTGTTGCCCTGACAGTCTGACAGCTGTCAGATGTACAAAGCAACTTGAAGGGCTTTGCGCAAATCGCCCTTCTTGGTTGCCCTCCGATCTTTTTGCCGAGGGCGATGGCCGCTCTTTGTACATATGTGCCATCTCCATCCACTTACACGCATTCTTGATATTGCTCTGCCGATGTGATGTGCGGTCTAGGTGTGCATGGCCTTCTCATCCAACTAGTAAGTACACCAAGAGAGACAATTGCAAGCTCGCTGGGAGATTGCCTTTTGGCCGGAGCAGTTTCCAGCCCAAGGCTTGACAAAGTGACAAGCACTGGGATGGTTGAAAGCTGAAGTGGCGGAGGCATCCTGCCTGCAAGTCACCTCAGTGAAGGTAGTCCTGCAACGCAGCTTTCCTGTCCATGCTGCTTCTTGTTTTGCCGTGCTGTTTGGTGTGACAACACCTATTGGTTCAACGTGTATGTGTTAAATTCCTGCAAAGGGTCACAGCAGCAGTTTCAGTCCCAGTGGCCGTCGTTTGACCGCAGCTGGTCTGCAACTTGGAGGTTGTCGGCAAAGCTTCCGCGTGCATTCTGATGTAGCACAGCCCAGCAGTTTCATTGTGAGGTGCACTTCTGCAACAGCAATCAACTACATCTCATAATCTTCAGGGATTGCTTCTGCAACAGCGGGCTTTGGGTGCACAGTAGGTCAGCACCTTGGGTGTTCTCGGTGAGACAGGTTCCACACTGCAATTTTTCTTGCACCTTACAACTGTGTTTGGCCGAGCTCGACGCTTTGCAAGTTGCAGAGTTGGCCTGTGGACGCTCAGCAGTACCACTTTCAATTGCTGAGTGCCATGGTTGGATGCGTCGCAAATCGGACAAGTTTGCGCTTGATTTATTTTCCCTCTTATAAGGATGGTGAGCAGAATTTGGGAGTGATCTCAAGCTTGAACTTGCATGCAACCTTCTGAAGCCGTAGGCAGCAAACCTGCATGACTATGATGAGCAGGCAGAATTTCATTGTTTCTGACCGACTTCCAACACATGCATGAGATGCCCCGAAATGAACCATGCATGCACACGCACACAAGCAGCCACGCACAGACTGTTGCAAGCAGTTGGAGAAGGAGTTGGAAATCATGATTCATGGACTGCTGGACCAAATTCAGCCTGGTGTGCCTGCTTCCCAGCCATTTGACCCGGTGCGTCCATCATTTTGCGCAGCCCTTGCAGGTCAGATGATGAGGAAGACGAGGCAGAAGTTGACTTCGTTTTCAAAGGCGCACAGCGCAAGTCGTCGTGCAGACCAAGTCACCTTTGCTATTGGTAGGCGAAGCATCAGCGAAATGCAACACATTGATCATTTGTGGACCAGGTTTGCGACTGAGACCAGATGCATGTCACAGCTTGACTGTTGAGCTTGTAGTGCCAGACGTGTCCTTACCCAGCAGCTTCATTGCAGGATGCTATTGTAGCTCAGCAAGTTCAATTCCAAATCCTTGCGGTCGGCATGGCGTGTTTCACTCCCAAGGTCCAGCCAGTGCCTTTGCTCAGACCATGGCCTTGCAGCCCTTGCCGGCATCTTATTTTGTTGGCAGCGCAATCGGCGCTTTGAAGTTGTGATTTGAGGCCGTGGAGGATAGAACCTACAGAGGAGCGGAGAGCCTGATTTGCGTGATATGCAGCGGAATGCATGTCCATATTGCAGCACTTTTGAGAACTGAAAGGGTGCTGCATGCACGCATACGATGTGGCCTAGGATTGCTGGACCAAACCATTTCCTCCGTTGCCCAAGTCACCCACATTTTTCCAGGCTGCTTGGAGATTGAATGCTGAGCTGACAAGAGAATTGCAACCACTTTTCTCAGCCCGAACTGACTATGCAGCGTAGACATCAATCGTTTGGAGTTTGGTCAGGCATCTGCTGGCACAGTGGTGGCCTGCCTGGACACTCCCGCGCTTGCCTCGTGGGTATTCAAATTTTAGGAGCTCAAGCAGTCAAAGATGGCAAATGATGTCGGGTCGCATGTTTTTGTTTGCATGCGTATTCTGACCTTTGGTTTCTTGTCTCGTAGCACACAGCTTGATTCCAAGCGCTGAGAACTCGATTCCAGGTTGCGTCAGAGTATGCAGTTGCCTGGGCCGAGAGACTGCTAACGGCGATTGGAAGCAGTCAGGCAGGGGACTGCTGTTATGCATGTGCAGAGTGGTTCGCTTTAAGCTTTGCTTTTGGCATGCGGACATTCCAAAACAAGCAGGTCCTCTATCTGGACCGCATCCTAAGAGCCGAATGGTGCAGCTGCTCCCGCGAGCGACCAGAGGTCCGACTCTTGTACCTCGTCGTCCTGTTTTTGGCCCATTGCAAACACAACAGGTGTGCAGCAGGCATCGTATTGTCCATTCCCTTCTGCTTTGTTTGTGTCAGGAGCCATATCTTGCAGGTTTGTGGACATCCAGCTGGTCTGGACCCATCCTCAGATTCGTGCTGTGCGCCGGCAGCCGCTGGCACATGGCTAAAAAGTTTGTACTGATGCTAGGAGGCAGATTGTGCGCTTTCTGATTCGACTTGAATCTGTCATTCCAGTGCTTGATTGAGCTTGCTTGTGATATGCGCTAAAGGAGAGGCCAGCCACTTTTCAGGCAAGGCCTCCATCCCAGCTCTGCCAGCGCCCAATGTGGTGGAGGCTGGGCATGCGTTTAAGATTCTCTGTGAGCTCTGGATGTTGGATGTGGGGTCTTTTTGTACTGTGCCAGGGCCTCGCCGCAGCACTTCTCACGTGCTGCGAAGCCAGATGCCTTTGCATCGTCGCGTTGACTTTGCAGGAGCCCGACTTTTCGGCCCGCAAAGCGGTTTTTTGGGTCGGCGATGGACAGTGGTGCCTTCTCTCAGGACGGCGCTCACCTTTCGGAAGGCTGTTTGCGCGGCTTTGAGGCGGAAAGAACTGAGCCCGTTTTGGATATTTCTTTCACATTTCCTGGAGATACCCGAGGCCCTGGTGCCTGTTCTTCAAGAATTGGAGGCCCAACATGTCCTGTGCCTTTCAGCCGGAAAGAAGCTCATGCGCTAGGTGATCGACGCTTGGTCAAGACCGCACGCCTGGCAGGGATTCTGAAGAAACTTGAAATATGTTTCGTGCTACATGCCAGGAACTACCGGCAAACTATCCAGAAGGCTTCTGGACACCACGGTTTGCTCTTGTGCTGTGGCTAGCTGTTGCTTGAGACTCAATCGGCCAAAGAAACGCCTGCCAGGCGGTTCCGCCTCCTGCCATGTCGATCTACGCATGATGCGGCGGGAAAAGTGAGCCAAGAGATGGCTGCACCCATCTAAGAACTTTGCAGATGCATACGGTGTAGCTCCATGAAGCTATTGATTTGTCTGCTGGTTGGCCCGTATTCTTTAAACTAGGCTGCCAGCATGCACGCAGAAGAGCAGCAACAAGCACATCCTTTATGTGATGACGACAGAACGAATTATCTTACCACAACGGAGGAAAGCGCTTGCTTTGCAGCGAAGATCACATATACTCAACAAGCTATGACATATGACTGACTCTATTGCAACAGCCAGCCAAAGGCAATCGGACGAGCAAGCCTTGAGCACCTGAATTCAGCATGACAGAGGAGGTGAAGCAGTTTTTGCAGGAGACTCAAGCATGCCGGTCCGTGCATTCATTCACGTCACATATTGACCCGCGTTTTCAGCCAAAGGCACCGCTTCAACACCTCCGGCAAGAAGCAGCGGGAACTTACCGAGGAGCCAGCGGCATGAGCTGAAGCGATGTCTGTGTGATATGGCAGGAGCAGAAGCAAGAGCTTAAAGAGGTCTTCGACCTGTGCCGTGGGAGAAGATGCGGACGATCACTGGGGCGTTGTGGTTTTGTGGTCAAGCAACAAAGTCGAGTGGCGTAACTGTTGTTCATTTTGCGGGGTAGGACACAATCAGTGCTGTCTGACATTCACTTCATTGCATAGTAGTCGCAGTGCTCACACATTGGAGACTCAACCATGCATGCCTTGCGCAGCCAAGTTTTGGAGACAATCTACTATCGTGTATGTTTGGACAGCTAGAGCCAGTTGAGCGTTGCGATGTCAAGGAATATGTGTGACGAGGCTGAAGTTTTAGCAAAGCCATTGGTTTTCCTTGACGTTTTTCGTCAGAATGCAAAGAGCTCAACTTCATTGTTGCTGTTCATCGTTTCTGTTTTGTTAGAAGGTTTGAAGCTGCTTGGTCACCGGATAGTAGCTTCAGCGAGTTGCCCATTCTTTGCAGCTGCCTGGTTTTGCTGCCAGGGCTTCGTTAGAGTTCATTTGGAGTCCGATGTATGCCGGATCGTGATTTGCGCGCTTCAAACATATGTATGGCTTTTGATTGTTCTTCGGCGCGAATATGTTATTCTCTAGTGCCTTGCAACTTGATTTTTGTAATCCTTTCCACCCAGTCAACAGCATCGAACACATGGTTTTGGCCTTAGAAGTTGCAGAAACCATTCGTTTTGATTCTGAACATATTTTGCTAGTTTGACTTTTGAGTACAGCTTTTATCGCACTCTTGTCATAGTCATACTTCTCCTTTTATCCGTGTCTTGGATTGCGCGTGCGTCTTTGTCTGCATCTTGGCACAGAGTATCTTGACCATCCGTTTTCAGTTTGTCGGCTCTTTATTGACAATTTACGCATCCGGTGTCACATTTTGAGCAGTACCAACATGTAACGTACATTATGAAACACTTGTCAGCTTAGATGATATCTGCAACCGCCGTATCATGGCATCAACATGTTGGTGGACAAGTCGCATTCCCTCTGCATCCCGAATTCACCAGGTGTTGGCAGCAAGGCCTTCAGTGATTTGAAATGTTTGCAGGTATGACATTGACGGCTCAGCGTCTATCGACAACTCAGAGCTAAAGGTGAGCCGTGGTGTTGGGGAGTGTGTACTATCAGTTGTTGTTGTGCACTCAGCTGAGACGTTACCTTGTCATGGTGCAAGGGGCTGATGCATATGCTGGGCTTCTCGACAACATCTCGAGAGGAGAGTCGGGGGTGATTGGCACATCCAGCTGAAGGCATTTTCGAGCCAAATGAGCAGCAACCCCTTCATTACAAGCATGAGATCGGTCACATTGATTGCAGGAGCTGGTGGCAATGATGATGGCCGTTGACAAGGCTGGAACTGTTACTTGAGTCTGCAACACGTCACATCCGAGAGAGGCAGATGCGTAAGTAATCATGGGCAAACAAATCCTAAGCACAAAGGCTTTTCACTGAAATCCAGCCCGGAGAGGAAGGTGTAAGTATTTGCGGCAAGAGTCTTCGCATGGCAGGATGGTTCCGGGGAAATAGAGCTGGATGAATTTCTTCAGATGATGGCACCGAAAGTGTTGTGCCTGCCTTATCTTTGCGCAGCAAGTTTTGCCCTCAGTGCGCTCTGAGGGGCCGAGAGCCTTCCGCCATTATCAGAAAGGCCGAAAAAACGTGACGACGTTGGCTCGCATTTTTTGCAGGTAGCTTTGGTTTGCGATGAGTGCTTGCAACGTTCACAGATTTGGACGGCGTAGGCCTATCCCCTTTTCACCGAGCCAGAGCCCGGAACTTGGTTCTATCAACGGTTGTGTTTGGTAGAAATCGGGACGCTTAGGAGCGGCCTTATCACCTGGCACAGCTTACGGCACGGCTTACAGCTTTGCAATGCGTTGCGAGATTGACGGCTTGCAGGGCCCTGGCGGACGATTTGGGCTTGGTCTTCAGCGATCACGAGTTGCAAGAGATGATTGATGACGCGGTGTACTTAGCTTTCAAGCAAGAGCGCCAGTGACTTTTCTTCAGAATTCTTGCTTTCAGGCTGATGAGTCCGGTGATGGCCTCTTGCAGGAAGATGAGTTTCTCAATGTCATGAGAAGAGCAAAGCTCTTCTGAGGCCTCAACCTTGTTTCACTCGGCTCAATGGCCGGAATTGTGATGCTAGGCGGAACTTACTGTTGTTTAGTTGAATGGCATTGCTGTTGAAGTGAGCACAACATCGCAACGTGCAACCACCGTATTGGTTCAATGTTCATCAGACAATATCCTGGCAGAATGACGCAAGTGCAAGTTGACCTCCTTCAACGTTCCTATGTTTGCACGACAAACAGAGACCCCCTTGACGGACAAAACCTGCATGTACCGCGAGACTTTTCAATTCCCACCACATGAGTTTGTACACACCTTAGTGATCAATGCCCTGCAATGAGCAAGTATGTGTTCCGTGCGACTTGGCAGCACTTGTCCTGCATAGTGCATATTATAAGGCCAAGGCGCCACAAAGAGGCTGGCAAAGTTATGGTTCCAGAGGAGGTGTGCTCCTAGCGCAGACATTCTCCTTGCTGAATTGCATGCTAATTCCCATCGCTTGCCCACCCGCCCAACGATTCTTCAGGACGGCTGTCCACCCAATTGCTTAGGTGTGCCTAGTGACGCTGCTCGGATTGGGCGGCTTCCAACACGTGCGCGAACTTGAGAGCCTCGGTGGCACTTTGGGAAGTAGCCCGACTACGTCTACTCAGCTTTGAAATCCTATGATTTCAGGAAGTTACCAATACAATAACAAGTGCAACTTATGTAGCGGCTCACCATGCGTGTGGCAACTAAGCATAACTAAGGTTACCTGCGTTCACGGGCCTCTGGCTGCCGGGAACTTAGGCTTGAACTCAGACATGTTGACCCAGCCACGCCGCATTTCCCAAATCAGCAATGTGGTCGTTTTCCAGGTTTACTCATAACGCGCTTTTTGTTCAAGCAACTTAGCCGCCTTCTGGCAATGTCCGTGCTACCTGCCGCCTTGTTCCATGTCTCCGAAGCATTCGGGCCAGATCTTCACCACACTGCCCTTGCAAAGCAGCCTTCTTTGGGCAGATCATTCCTTGGTACCTCAACAGCTCAGGCCGGAAGAAAGATGTCGAACCTCTTTGAGGGCCGGGTAAACCGTTTGGACGGGAGACGAGTGCTCGAGAGGTGTTTCCACCGTGCCAGGCCGGACCCACTCCCTACACGCCAGATGAGTGCCCTTGGAGAAAAGGCTTGAGGGTACAAAGTTGGGCACTTTGAGTGGCGGCTTCTAGCTAAGGTTGTCAGAAGGGGGAGGACTCTGTCCATGCATTATGCATGTCTTTTGACATTCCCCGGGACATCTACTCGTGAGATTAACTTAACAGAGACCGCACATGGGCAGTGAGTCAAGTGCACGGCGCCCATCAACTACTTGATTTGGGTTGGAACTTAAACTGCCCTGTGCACAAGCACAAGTGTTTTCAAAATGGGTGGGTGGGGGGTGGGGGGTCAAATTCAAAAGGTGTTTTTTCGCATTGCGCGGGTTGTGTGTGACCTTGACAATTTAGCAGCACTCCCTCCAACAGAGCGCCAAAAGGAATTTAGACAAGAGTCTTTTAAGGGAGGGGGTCGTGTGCACTCGGCGTGCTTGTGTTTGAGAGGGTAGGTAGAGTGCTCAAAAAGGGCATTTTCAAATTGTATGCTTGTGACCCTTTATGCACATTGAACAATCCCCCAGCACTTGCATGGAGCACTTTACCATTGGCAGTTTTGCGATGTGGCAATACAGGTAGCTCTTTTTTGTGAGGTACTGGACCCGGAGAGCGCGGGAGGAAGGCGTGCTTGGCGCTTACCGGGAATTCAGACAGTGTGGTTGCTCCGGACCTGGTAAGGCCAGCGAGAGCATACTACAAGCTAGAGGAACTCGACAGGAGGCACAGGGGGAGCACGGCGAAAGCGAAAAGGCTTCCAATACTTTAACGCCTCCGGCTCAGGCCGCCGACATTAGAGGCCTGCTTTTTTAGTTGCGTCCCTTTGGAGTTATCCCATTGGAAGATTTCCTTTTGATGTTTCCCATCGCCATTGGAATTGTCCCATTGCACCTCTCCCCTTGGAAGTCTCCCCGTAAGATCTTCTCCTCCTTTCCCCCCCTAAGATCTTCTCCCCCCTTTCCCCCCTAAGATCTTTTCCCCCCTTCCCCCCCAGATCTTTGCCCCCCTTTCCCCCTCTAAGATCTTTCCCCCCTGTCCTCCCCCTTTCCCTGTTGAGATCCTTTCCCCGCTTCCCCCCCCAAGATCTTTCCCCTTTTTCCCCCCAAGATCTTTCCCCTTTTTCCCCCCAAGATCTTTGCCCCCCTTTCCCCCCCTTCCCCTCTAAGATCTTTTCCCCCCTGTCCCCCCCAAGATCTTCTCCCCCTTTTCCTCCCTAAGATATTTTCCCCCCTTTCCCTTTTGAGATCCTTGGTTCTCATCTCCTAATATTGTTTCTTTTGACAATTCATCATAAGAAGGTCTTCAGTGTAGCTGTGACTTTAATGAGCCCACCAGAACTGGTTTGCTTGTATTCAGTCTATTTATTGATTTAATCATGTAATATTAACTATGTAGGGAACAAATTAATCCGAATATTCTTAATCATGTTTCTTTCTTGCTGTGAGTTGTTCCTTTGTTTGCATTCCGTTTGGTGAGCGTGTGCTGTCTAAAACTTTTCTCATTCTGTCTTCAATAGCTTTCGGTTCTGTTGCTTCAGCTAAATCATTTCTGTTGCTTTCAGCTAATGCTCCCTGTGATTGTCTTGCTTTCAGTGTGTCCTTCAACTGCTTGGAATAGTTCATTCTTGAAGCAACAATGGCGTTCTACTTGTGGTGCCCTTTTAAATTCTACCTTTCCATGACTTCTCATAAGCATATTATATGTATCCGAATCAGATTATTATTGAGAACATTGATAAAGTTAATTTGTTTAGTTTATCTGATTTTTTAAGTTCTTCATAATGTTGGGTTAATAACCCTGTTGCTGTGGGTTTCTTAATTTGTTTCTTTGATCACTTCTTGTTTAATCTCATTCGTAGTCTCTTCTTTTACTTCTGGTTTTTATCTTTCTAGTATTATGTTGTGGGTTGACTGGGAGCATCTGGCTTTTTCTCCTTTACAGTTCCTTAGGGTGTGAGTGTCTCAAACTTTTCAACGTCATCTTTTTAGAGCGCTGTTCGCATTCTACTAATTCAAGTTCTTTCTTGGTTAACAGGCAAAGAGGTCCTGTAAGGAGCATTTCTCATGTCCAACACGCCCTCTGTTGTTGGCGGATTTGTGCCTATTCTGTCAAGTCTGCGAAATTTGTCAGGCAGTACCCAACTTTTGATACACAAGTGGTTGAGGAGTGGAGAATGCCCGCGTTCAGGTTAAGTCTTTTTCGACCTGGCAAGCAACTGAGATCAAGAGCCATGAGGCATCAATGCGCATCACCCTCGCTTGCTGAGGCCACAAAGTTCTGGATTTGGGATGCTGGCCAGGATCATGGACACTGTATGCTGCGCGGTCGGAACCTTGATTAAAAGACAAAGAGCGCTTGAAGGTGGACATGCTTGGGCTGGCCTGAGCAACATGCATACGATATTTATTCGTATGCACAGCATGTGACATCAAACAGCATGCAGCATGGGTAAGGCAAGAATGTGTGGCACTCAGGAAAATTGGTGCCAAAGGACGAGTCCTTGGACCTTGCCTCAGCGCGCGGTGGTACAAAACGCAACTTAGCACCTGTGCAGCCTGGCTTGCCCTTAGGAATCGACCTGAAGGAAGTTGACTTTCCACTGCCAAAAAACGCCCAGACCCGTGTGGAGGCGTGCGGCATAGAACTGCTCGGGACGCTTTCTAGGCGTCTGACATGCGGACATGACGCCTTTCTGAGCATATATTGCTTGCAGGATGCTCGTCACTTTCGAGGTGCAAATGTGGTTGGCTGAGACGGTGATGGGTAGGTAATAAAGCAGTGAGGGATGAAACCTGGGTGGTGATATCATTCCTTGCCCGCCCAAGGTTCCCATGCTGGATGTCATCATTAGCGATATGGCACCAAAGACCATAGGCTGGAGCCTTGGCAATTGAAAATTGACTCACATCATTGGCTGCAGTTCAGTCTACAGTCTCAGACGAGATGAGTTGAATCGCTTCATACCTGCGTGGACAAGATTGAATCTGACACTTGTCACCCAGCAGGCGAGCTGCAGTTCATGTGACACCAATATTCTTGGGAAGAACTGCGCTCCGAAGTCAGCCATGGCGGCAGTGGCGCTGCCATGGCTTTCGCAGCACCTGCCTGTGCAGCCCGCACAGCCCGCGCAGCCTGGGCCGAGATTCCGCCCAAGCGGCGGATCCGGTGCTTCGATGTTCGCAGGCCGTTGCTTGGCCTTTGTTTGCTGGCTGATTTTGATGTGCCAGGACAAGTGGCTCTACTGGCAGCTGTGGCCATTCGGCGGAGGACGGGCGCATGGATATTCAGATGAAATGTGATTTGCCTTGCTAACACCTATCCTCATCCAGCTTCAAAGCTTCGCTGCCATTGTACCACCACCAACGTCACACCTCCAGCTACCCAAGCCAGCACATGCACACACTCACAGGCAGGCACATGGTGTTGTTTTAGGGTTGTTTCCAGAAAGCCAAAATCATGGCGAAGTGTACTAGAACCCGCCAGCATCACCAGCATTACCAGCACCAATCAAAGCATCTCCAGCATTTCCAGCATCTCCAGCAACAGTGTGTGGGGCAACATTATAACTGGCTGCCTTACGAAGCGTCTTGCGATTGACAAGAGAAAACACACATTGTGTGCCATGCGGCCAGACGCCAGGCATGCGATGCGAAGCAAGACTTTGCCAGAGATGATCGCGACGGAGAGAGTACCAGCCAAGCACCCAGACTCGACTTCAGCCATGCCACAAGAGAACTAATTGGCAGTTGAGGTAGTCCTCTATGCGCCAAAGCACGAAGTGGAGGACCAGGCGCGATGTGCTGCTTGTCTTCGAATGAAGTCATGCTGAAGAGGCCCTGGAGCAGCTTATCAGCTTGGCAGACGCTAGGCTCGTATAAAGAATCGGTCCTTTCAGTGGAGAAACCAATTCCAACCGTCTGAGGAGTCACCTCTGCCGGTTGGTCATGTCGCGGCGATGCCGGACGTACACCTGGGCAAAGGCCATGCGACTTTGCGGTAGATCACATGTTTCAGCTCTCCAGCCAATGAGCGCCTGACACACACGCAGGAGTTGCCATTGGCGCCGTCTTTGCTTCAGAGCGCTATGTTTGCCCCAACGCCGTTGGGGTAGACATCGGATGTGGAATGTGCGCTGTTCCAATTCAAGGTCTCCACAAAGACGACTTGTCGGACGAAGACCTGCGCAAGCTACAGGCTGCGATCAAGGATCGCATTCCAACATCTTTTGATTCGCATGATGAGCAGCTGCCTTGGGCGAAAGAGACATTGCACAACATCAGTAGCTCCTTGGAGGCACTTTGGCGACTTCTTTTCCAGTTTTCTTAACTGCAGTTTTCCGTTCTCAGCCAGAGGCATTTGTTCTGAACTGGAAAGAGCCTTTGCTTCTTGCATGCATGTTTTTGTTCCTCAAACTTACGACACCGAGAGCTGCACGTGGGCAAGTTTTCCAACAACAACGCAAGGCCAGCAATGTAGCAAGATCGCTTCAAGAGCCTTTCCTGGGAATGGCCACGCTTGTTGTTCGATGCCCCATGTCATTGGGAGGGGCGATTTTGAGGGGAAATGCTTCAGGAGAGCATCATCCTACTGATTACTTGGCACGACGGTTGGACCGCGAAGAAAAAATCGCACGGCAACTGGGCACCTTGGGTGGTGGCAACCACTTCCTGGAAGTCGTCTACTCGGAGTCTGATGAACAGGCGCGACAGAACAGAGGCTACAAGACTTGCAGAACCCCGCATCTTGGTGCTATGCCAGCCTCAGCTCCATTCATTCTCTTATTCCCAATTATTTGGTTGATCCACGATACTCCGACTGAACCTTTTGACCCAGCACTACGTCCTGTGCCAAGTAAAATCGGGATACAGTGCCTAACAGCAGATGGTTCAAGCAATCCTTGCCAGATTGTATCTGCGTGTGTAGTTTGTCCGCCAGGTCTGGTGCATGCTGCACAGTGGCAGCAGGAACGTCGGCAACACAACTGCATCCTTTTATGACCGAGTGGCCGGAGAGAGGCCATTGGCTGAAATTCACCATGTGACCATCAAGAAAGGGAAGACAATCTATCAACTAAACAGCAAGATCGAGGGCAATAGCAAGACCATAAAGCGCTATGACTCCAGCTCGGCACTTTTCTCCATTCCCTGAGGGGTGTAGCTCTTCGAGGCCTTCATGGCTCTTTGAACTATTTGGAGGTTGACAGTGAAGAGGGCAAGGACTACCTCCAAGACATGCAGTGGTGTGACTGGGATGGAGTTATGATTCTTGTGATCGAGCAGCTTTAAGCAGCTGTGCCAAAGATCGAGCGAGGCCAGGCCTATGCGCGGGAGAATCGACAGAGCATGTTGAAGATCATGGTGTCGACTGTCGAGGAGGTGAGCGGCAAGAAGGCGGACATGACTCGAGCAGTGAATGCTCATCACAACTTCTGCCAGTGCGGCGCTGAGATTGGGGCTTGCGACGCTGGTGATTCAGCACGCTTAAAACAAAAAGCACTCAAAAGTTCACGCCTGAGGTGCGAGAATTGTCGCTTCTACGACGCGGCGACGGGGGAAGTTCGAGCAGCTGGGCTGCGTTGGCCAAGTCCGCACGTCGCCCTCCGAAGTTTTTGGCGCTCCGAGGAGCAGAAGCTGTGGGTCACTCGCAAGGGCGCCACCAGCGCGCGGGAGGGCGAGTACGGCATCATCCCTGGAAGCATGGGTGTGGCTCAGTGAGCATTGAGGTTTGAGGCTCACAGAGAAGCAAGAGATAAACAAAAAGGGGAGGGGAGCGGGGGAGGGGGGGGGAAGCAATGCGTTAAAGGTGGGGAGCTACATAGTGAAAGGTCGCGGAGCAGCAGGCGCGGCGCAGGCTGTTCTGTTTCAAGGGGTTTGTTGAAGCGACAGGCTCCTGGCAGAGTTGCTCACATGGTGCCGGCAGGACACATGTTTCAAGTGAATCAGTGATACTTGAGAAACATGCGCCGAAGAAGCGTGTTGCAAATGTTCCTTCCACATTTTCCATTCTTCCATACATCTATTCTTCCGTTCTTAGGACGATGTCGCGGACAGCTGCCAAGCGGCAGATCGCGCAGGACGCCTTCGAAGCCTCCATGCAGGGCATTATTTGTGACACGCACCCGGCAGTGCGCGACGAAGCTCCACAAGCATACAAAGACTTGGGGCAGGCCGCTCGCGTGTGAACTTAGACAAATCTTTGTTGGAACTGGTAAGTTTGTTTTCGAACAGGTGCTGAAACATCAAGCAGATCTGGTGGAGGCGCTGCGTTGAACTCAACGTGTCAAAGTCGACTTGAAGAGCCCATCACAAGCTGCACTTCTCTTCCTGACAACACCAGACTACCTTGGCCATGGAGTGTTTTTGTCCCTCTAGAGCCAGATGCGTTGCAACATGCAAATCTGAACCTGCACAATATGCTCTCACTTGTAGGTGGAACATCGATTGCTGCCGCTCGTGAATGTGAAGGGCTTTGAGGAAAAAGGAGGCTTGTCTGAATTCTCATTGTTTTTGAGCGTGAAGTCTTGCCGCCAGAGTTGAGGCAACTTCAAGAGGGCAAGCAGCCAGAAGAAAGGCCAAAAGAAGCGAAAGACCTCTCGCAAGGCCAGGAGGTAATCGCATGCTCAGCTGTACAAAGTGTCTTGGCGTGCGCGTGTTGCATGCTTCGGGCCCCCACCAGTGCTGGCCCACGTCCAAAGCCGCTTCCTCACATCGGCAGTGCATGGAGCTCTCTCGATGTGAGTCGCAGAGCGGGTCCGACGTGGCTACACCGCTCCAGCGAAACCAACAGAAAACGTGCTGCGCTGGAAGCGCTTTCTGCAATTTGGTATGCCTTGTTCGAAGAAGGGCTGTTGTAGGTGACTTGGCGCACTTTCAATTCTGGCAGAGCTTTCCGAGTTTGCAACATAGACCGCTTGCGGATTTCGCATGTACATCGACAGCGCGTCAGGACAGCGAGGCGCTGATCAGGGCCGCTCGACAGAGCTGGTGGACTGTCGACTGTGCGCTGCTGTGCTTCCGAATGCAGTTCTGGCATTCTGACTGGGCAGCTCTTGAGCTCGTGATGGTCGCTGGATAGAAAACTTGAGAAAGCCCCTTGCTTGGCTCATACATGCTGTTGCTCGCAGGAAACGGTGTTGAGCATTGCTGACTTCAAGTTGAAGGAGGGAGGCAAGATGGTCGCAAAGCACTTTGAAGGAGCTGGGCTCTCAGAGTGCTTGTTTGCCAGGCATTGGGCTTGGCACTTGGAAGACCCGGAAATACTGTTGAACCAAGGCTGAAACTATGGAGCTGAAACACAGAATGAGGTCGCGTTTTGAGAAATGTGACTTGGTCTGAAGCTTGCCCATGGACAAATTTGTTCCTGTGCTTTTTGATTCAACCACAGGTCGCATCATCAAGACACAGGCATCCAGAACGCAGTCGTTTGAGCAGTACCGGCAAAGTTACATCATTCGTTGGCTTGAATTCCGGGGAGCAATGCGTGGCAGGCTGTACCTGTGCTGCATAGGCAAGAAGCCCAGCAATCTACAGGCCAGAGTCAAACATTGACTTGAATTGTAGATTGTGTCTTGCTTGTCAAGAGACATCAAGCATTGGCTCACAATCTCGGCAGCAAAATTTTCACGCTCCGCGCACCGGCCTCGCGTGCCAGCAAAAGTCCCTTAGGAAAAACCGAGCCATGCGCGATGGTGGGTGGATGGATGGCTGGATGGTGGGTGGATAGATGGATAGATGGCTTGATGGCTGGATGCATGGCTGGTGGATGGAGGGACGGCTGGATGGATGGATGCATAAATAAGAAAAATGGGGGACGGCGCGCGCGCGCCATCAGGAATGGCTTGGGGAAGAATGGCCCCAATTGCAGGCGATGCAAGGGATGCAGGCGATGTGTGCTTCCGCAAGCCTCGGTGATGCTGGCAATGCAGCCGAGTTTGTAGAAAATTGCAGAGCCTTTTGCCAACTCGAGCTCCAATGACCGCCCGGGCGGTGATGATGCACCACAGGCGCTGGGCATGCAGACGATGCGAGGGGAGGCCGGATTGAAGGGCACGCATTGTAGATAGCGCAATATCATACATGTAAAATTGTAAACGCTTTGCGCTGCTCGCCTTGGCCAGTATTCTTTTGGTTGGCTTTGAAGTACTGTGATTGGTTTCTTGAAGTGGGCATTTTGATTTTGCAAGCGGCAGTTGAGCTTGGCAGGTGTTTGGGCAAGTAAAGGTTTCACGATAGCGATGAGTATGATGATGATGATGATGATGATGATGATGATGATGATGATGATGATGATGATGATGATGACGACGATGACGACGATGACGATGATGATGATGATGATGATGATGATGATGATGATGATGAGGATCATGAGGATCATGAGGATCATGATCCTCATGACCTGATCCCAGCCTCGAAAATGCGCGCCGTGCAGCTGAACACCATTGGTAGCTGCTCCCAAAAGTTGCCGCTTTGCAACCCCAACATCACCAGCGGTGCCTAGCGTCACATTTGAATTCCATAACGATGGAGATGAGGATGATGGTGGCGATGATGACATCGTCGTCGTCGCCGTCATTATTATTATTATTATTATTATTATTATTCATGACCATCATCATCATCATCATCATCATCATCATCATCATCATCATCATCATCATCATCATCATCAGTGCAACATCCCTAGCGTCAGCAGCAAATTGCATCATCACAAGCAAGGCCACATGGCGATGCTGATTGTGATGACGATGCCGATGATGATGGTGATAATGATGATTTACCCTCCCCTTGCGCCTCCCTGTCTGGAGCAGGGGTCGGCGGATAAGTTTGGGTTGTCTCCAACTTTCGCAAGAGAGGGGAGCTAGTGACAAGAGTCGAATCACTTCCCAAAAGGCTCCAGCGACTTGGCAAGCTCCTCGCCGGAGCCGCAGGCATGGCAGTGGCATGGCAGTGGCATGGCAGTGGCATGGCACTGGCAGTAGCACTTTGTCAGTAGCACTTTGTCAGTAGAGACAGCGCTGCAGGACTCAACGGCCAGCGCCGCAGTCGTTTAACGGCTGGTAGGCTCCGTGCAAAAATGCCAAGCTTGCGCTTCAGACAGTGGCAAGTGTCCCGCCTGCAGCACTGGGCAGTGGGTGGAGCAGACTCAAGCCAGCCTGCCGCACTTCTGTTTTTGGCTCAGTAGAAGTTAGAACATCCACAGATAAGTCACATTTTGGCCGCTGAGATGCTGGCAATGTTCGCGAGGATTATACTTATTTTCCTTCCTTTTTGTCGCATTGACCAATGTGGCTGTGGGTCAAAACCAATGGTACCAGTTTGGGGTAGGTGCACCACGCGTTTTAGTCTATTTTAGTGGGAATTGGGATCTTTACTGGGAGTACGGGCTTTTGACCCATGGCCATGTGAGATTTCTGAATCGTCCGGATGCAGTTGTTCCAGCAGTTCGGTGAGGCGAGTGCGAGTGGTTTATTAGGGCAGAACCGTTGCAAGAGTGGAGGTGCTGGAGCGTCTAAGCGGCGGGCACTGTGCATGGAATGACTTCACCAAGGCAGAATTAAGGACATCGGCAGAGAGAGAGAGAGAGAGATAGGTAGGTAGGTAGGTAGGTAGGTAGGTAGGTAGGTAGGTAGGCAGGTACACAGATGGAGAGAGAAGAGAATGAAGTTGAGAATGAGACAGGAATCCCAGGAATCCTTGGATGGCCAGGAGCTGGGATGTCGAGGAACCAAAGTCTGCCATTGAGGGGCTCGAGGGCCTAGCCCTCGAGTACTCGTGGCTAGAACTGCATCAGGCAGGTGCGACGTTTCTGCGCCATGCATATTACCAGACTGATGCCTTGCCTTCAACTCAAGAGACAACCGTTTTATGCTTCCCTCGTGCAACAGTTGTTCTTCTCAGCAAAGACACTGCAAGCATAATTGGGGTCAGGATAAAAACAATAAAAACAGCTTCGGCAAATGAGTTACTGTATTTCCTTCTGAGTAGGGCCTGTACAGGCAACGGACGGCTTTGCGCCAAACCGTCAACTGGGTGCTGGTGCCAGTGGTGCCCTTGTCGAGTGCACATTGCAAAGTAGAGGAAGCGCAGCTGCATAGAGAATCCGAGACACAGCTGGATTTAGCTGCAACATCCTCTCCAGTTCCATTCCTGCGAGGTACTGTCTACGGCGCCACCCTGTGCGAGGGCACAGAAGCTGCCGTCAAGGTGGGCAACTGCGCCAATGGAGTTGATTGCAAGGGACTTTAATCGAGTTGACAAGGTGCTGGATGTGCCCGAGTGTGGGGGCTTCGATGAAGAAGTTCGACTTTTGTCTCGCTGCAGACACCCCAATGTTGGGACCCAAGCTTGCAAGAGCAGCACATATTTGGGTTTACGTCTTGTTGTTTGTTGCTTTCTGTGCAAATTCTTCACGCAAATCACAGGCTAAAGTTCAGGGAAACAATTTTTAGCGGATCAGGCACATTTTTTTTTGGGGGGGGTGATGATTGGGGAAAACCACTAAAATGCTGATAATTCCTAATCGAAATGGGAAAAGTTACCCAGGGTCATTTGGGGGCCGAACAGACCATAGGTGGTGATGCTCCTGGGCTTCGCTGAAGATAGCGCGTTGGCACCACTGCCTCGGCGCTGCGCGCTGGTCTACGAGATGCTTCACGGGGGCGATTTGTATCGAAGGCGCCGAAGTCAAACCGAAGCGCCCCGAGTTGTTTTTTGTGAATTTTCGTCAAGCGTCACCAAGGGAATGAGAGACGGTCATTTCAGGCTGCAAGCCTTGGACCGCCCGTATCTTTGGCACGAGCGCTTGCGGACCGCAACGGAGGCAATGTGACAGATGAGCGGCGCCCAACACCCCAGTTGGCCATAGGAGGTGCTTCTACTACTTGGTTTCCGAAAAAGGTTATAGTAAGGCTATACAAACCTTTACATCCATGTTGTAGAACAACAGGTCCAATAAGTTTTGGGTGCTGCTCAGATGAGGGTATCGCCATGCAGGTGTGCAGGGGTTTGGCGCACCTTCACAAGCACAGGCCAAAGATTTTTCATCGACGCTTCTCCGCACTTTAGCTTCGTGATGAGTATGTAGCCTGTTTGAAGCTTGTGGGCGCAACAGCAGCAGCGTATGCACGAGGAGACATAAAGAGCCAGAACATCTTGTTCAGCAGTGATGGCACAGCCAAAATAGCAGACTTTGGCGTGCCAGCTCAGTCATGTCAGTCATGTCAGCTCATATTTTGTATTTTGAGACTGCTCTAGAGCTCTTCATATTTTGCTTGCAACCCGAGGCCTTGCATGCATGGCTGCCCATCATCATGAGCGCGAGTTAGCTACAGCGTACACTGCTCAGAATACAAAGCGAAGCCAAGTTGATTCGCAATGCGAGCTGAGGCAAGTTGCTGGCACACTGGGCTACTCTGACCCGCTTTACACCAGGTCTGGCAAAAGCGCAGGGTTTGTTTCGAGTTGCCGCCTGCCTTGAGATTTGGAGGACTGGTGTAATTTCAGAGTCTAGCGAGTGCTACTCGTTCGGGCAGGCTAGGCTTGCAGCTGTCCTTTGGTTTGGTAAAATAGAAACTACGAAGACCTGTGGGGGCCTGTGAGCTGCGCAGGTCCTGATAGAGCTGCTGGTTGGCCGACCCCCAGCTGTTCTTGCCCAGGATGGGCGTAGCTGTGCCGGTGCCTCGTTGCCGGGCAGCGGCCATTGCTTCGCTTTTCTTTCAAAGCACGTGGCCTTCGTCAAAGCCCTGCTTTCGCTTGCCTACTGCGAGATGTTGATGCGCTTTCGAGTCGCGACTGAACCACCCATGCAAGCCGAAATTATGGCAAGATCTGATACCAGAGTTGCGGATGTTTTGCAAATGCTGCCAGCGAGTAACCCTGCATACCAGAGCCGAAGTAAGTTTCTTACGCTCAAAGGAAAAGGTGCGCTGCCAGAGTGTACCCTACTTTGTGTACTTTGTTTGCACAGAGGGAGGTTTACATCATGTGCTGTACGTGTACTGACAAGATGCAAATTTTGGAGCTTGAGCTGCCATACGATTATCAAGCTGGAGATGTACTTGAAAGTTGCAATTTTTGAGCTGGAGCTTTCAAAAGTGTCTAGTGTGCAACGCTTGTACGTCTTTTCTGCGCCTCAAAGTGCATTCTAAGCTGGAAGGCCCCTGGACACCTGTGGAAAAAGGAGCTTGGCTTTCCGGGCAGCTCCGCAATGCACCGTGACCATTGCGCAGGAAATGCACAAGGGTGTGTCTTAAAATAGTGGACCCCCCCAAAATGGGCGGTTTCCTTTTGGTTTTCCTAAAGCCCCGTTGGAGGGGTATCCCTAAAAGAAGACACACACCTACATGTCTACATGTCGTGATAAATTTTGGGCCTTTGGCAGGAAATAGGCATGGAGGATCATCCACCATTTATGGACAGCAATCTTCTTTCATGCTGAGGTGTTCTTGAGTGACGAGCTTCGTCCCAAGGAGGAAAGCCTGTGTTTCCCCATGTGGCATGGTTATGCGTTGAGCTTGGCAAGCATATGTGTGTAAACTGATTTGTCCTCACTTTTAAAGGTCTGAATATGTGTCGTGGTATGAATATGTGTGACGTCTCAAGGTTTGCTTGCGTGCAATTGACATTGTCAGGACCGTGCCAAGACCAGGGTCCTCAGTCGGCTCGATGCACGCCTGGAGCTTGGCGCTGGCAGCCCATTCAGCGAGCTCGTGTCTCGAGCTCCTTTTTTCGCTCAGGCGCTCAATGGCCATTGCTGAGTGCTGCGGGCCTGTCAACGCTGGCCCTGTTGCATTCTCAGGGGTTTTTGGGTTTTTGTTCTTTCGTTTTTTGTTGTCGTTTTTTTCACGGCCCAAACCCCTGTCTCAGTATGATTGGAAAGGTTATGCATTCACGATGATGCCGATCGCCGCCCTACATTCCTAGAGGCCAGAGGCTTACCGAGCACAACACCTTTGCTGGTAGACACCTGCGAACATGCGCACTCTGCTCAGCACGCCCTCTTGCTTGTTGTCAGCATGGATAAACATCAACCTCTTAGATAAACAATTGACAATCAAGCAACCCTTGTAACCCTATTGACATGAGTTCTGACCAGTGTAGCAGCTCGGTACACCTGATCTGTGCTTTGTTGCGCAACAGCAAGTAGGCCGTGCGCAATCCGAGAGTCCAGAGTACAGGCAACTGATATGCTTCGTGATTTGACCACGGCCGTGCCTGCGGCTTTGCCTGCAATGCAGGCCTTGTAGTTGATGCCGTTCTCTGTTTCGTGCTTTGTGTTCGCACATCCTGCAGGACTCAGCTGAATCGGAAGCAAGCCGACACTGTCTTGAACATCACGATGCCCAATCACAATCTTCGGATCCAGCCACAACAGACAGCGGCAACAAAGAGAGAGGAGTTTGCTCGCCAATGGCTTTTGCTCAGCCCAAATTGCTCGAGATGGAGTCAGTCGATATGCTGAAGACTTTGCTGAAGCATGCGCAGCATGTTCCGAGCAGAGAGCCATCACAAGCATGGCAGCCGCTACACATGCGGCAAAACCAATCGCCATCGCCAAAAGCACACTGTCCTCACCCACCCGTTTGCCCTCAGATCAACCAACCGTCAGCGTCTCCATCGCACTTGCCACAGTTTCAGCAGCCTATGTCACCGCAGATAGGGTGCCGACAGTTGCAGGCCTTTTCGCCACCGGTACCACCCCAGCAGCACCAGCAGCACCAGCAGCACCAGCAGCACCAGCAGCACCATCAGCACCGGCCACAGCAGCAGCAGCAACAGCAGCCGCAGCAGCAGCAGCCGCAGCGTGGACACCAGCAGCACCCCCACCACAACCATTCGCAGCACCTACCTTCCCCGCCTCAGCATCACTTCCACGCCTTGCAGCATTGGCAGCCCCAGTCGCCGCAGAATCAGCATCCCCTGCAGTTTCATGCAGCTCAGCCTGCTCGGCGTGATTCTCAATTCCTGCTATCGCATGCAAAGTCCATGCCCGAAGCTTCACAGGCCACTGGTGAAATCACTCACGGAGTGAGAGTCAAAAATTCAGAAAGCGAGGCGGACAATGTGCAGGAACTCATTGAGAAACTACAGCAGTGGCCGGGTTCCAGCATCGCACGGCCCACGGAGAGTGTGCTGGATGGTTAGCTAACAGGAGTTTGCACCTCGCGCAAAGTCGAAACACCAAAGGAGAGACTCATAGGCCTTCATGATTGCTCCACTGCTTCGAGGCCTCGGCATCAATCGCAGCCTTGGAATTGCAGCAAGGCCAGGCTGTGGTGGAGCATTACTTTGGTTGAATGACGAGTGCTGGACTCAAGATTGGATTTGGCGTTCCGGTCTCGGAGGTGAACATGCAAGAAGGCAACCAATGCAACGCCACTTGTCACCTCGGCTGCCCTTGTACAGAGGCGGGCTTGGTGTTGCTTCAGCGACTTGACCCGCCATGATTGCAGGTACTGGGAGCGACTCGCCCAGTGCAAAAAGAACAGCGCCAAAGTGAATAGTCCTTGTGTGAGCTGTCCAGAAATGCTCAGTTGGAATAAATAAGCTGTTTTACTATATTTGGCTGTGGGTCAAAAATGGGTACCCAAAATGGGAACCCTGGTAAATGGAACCCATGACAAAAACAGGCCTTCCCCTGGTGGTTCAATTTTGACCCACACCCATTTGATGAATATTTGTTGAAACAAGTCTGAGGCCGGAGCCTGCAAGTTGCTGTTGCTTGATTTGTGTGTCTGCCCAACTGCAGTGAGTCGACTCAGTCTTGCTTCTCACTTCATGGTTGTGGGTTCGTACGTCCTGGAAGCAAACCCCAGAAAGGAAATCCATTCGGAATCATTGTTACTAGTAATCGACAAGTGGAACCCTACTGTGGGGGGGTTGTCTTTGCCACACACAGGAAATCAGACGAGGTGGTTTCTCGTGGTGCCTTGCGTGTCATTTGCAGAGCGCAGAACTCTGAAGCCGCCAACCTCCAGACGCCGAGCCCATTTTTTCCCCAAAGGCCCTTAGGCACGCGGCGCACGTGGCCAATTTTCCACCGTTCCGATGCGCGCCGCGCTCCTGTTGGCTGTCCTTGCGCCTCTTGCGCTGGCCGAGCCTGGGCGCCAGTTGAGGGGCTCGGCCGCGGGTCTGCCCGGGTTCGGTGACATCTTCGATGACCCCGAGGACGGGGGATTTCCAGAAGAGGACGAGAGCGAGGACGAGCCCGAGGACGAAACGCCGGAGACGCCGGAGACGCCGGTGACTTGGGAGCCCTTGCCCGGGGATGAGCTGTGTGCGCAGCCAGATGCCCAGTGCGGAGGACAGTGGTACTATGGACCGACTTGCTGCTGGCATGCGCACACCTGCTACGCGCTGAACGAGTATTTCTCTCAGTGCGTGACGGAGGCCAAGGCGGAGGAGCTTGCTGGCCTTGCCAGCAGCACGACCACGACCACCACCAACGCAGACCCACTGAAGTGTCAGCTGGGATTTCAGCAATGCTCCGGTTTTGACCAGGATGACGGGGCCAACTTCACAGGCCGGGCTTGCTGCCATGCGGGCTTCAGCTGCGTGGCGACGGGCCCCTTCTTCTCCCAGTGCTCGCCCACGGAGAAGGACCGGGTTGCGAAGGTTGCGAACGTGCAAAGTATGAGCAGTAGCCAAATAGCCTAAATCAGTCCCATTTCCACTAGTTTCTTTTGGAAGGGAAATCCAATGTTCTCCCCTCGAACTTTTGGAGCGAGGACGGGCCCTTCTTGCCGTACCAGCCTGACCTGCCATTGGAGCAGCCCAGCGAGGCTGAATTGCTGACCTTCTACGTCTACCGTGCTGCTACCGAAGATGGGGAGGACTTCTGTTGGTTTTGCGTTTGGTTCAAGCTCAGAGGTATCGCTTTCGAATTGCGTTTTTGGGTTGCTAGTGGTGACATTGGGCATAGTGCCATAGCATGAGGATTTCATGGAGAACATCAACGTGGGGGACCTGGCCGGCACCTTGTGGTACCTGCACAACGAGGTGGTCTTCACCCGGCCACGCAAGTTCGACATCGATCGAGTGGTCCGCTACAAGGTTTCCATGAAAGCCACCACGCCGATTCATGAGCTGGGCATGAACTTTGGGGTGCGGTTCTCTTTTGACTCGGCCATGTGCACGGGGCCTTGGAATTGCGAGCTGCTCTTCGAGCAGTATGGCTACTTTGTGGGCTGCAACTACCTGGGAATGTTCCCCTTTCCCACATACAACGTCTCTTACCCTGATGCCAAGTGGTTTTCACTGCCCGGCGCATGCCCCTCCAAGGAATTTGGGCAGAAGGACGAGAGGTGCATCGAGCTCCAGCCTGGAGGCCGGTGCGAGGGCACCCCCACTGGCCAGGGCAATTGTAGCTACAGCATTGAAAAGATGGGGTCTTTGACTCTGGACGAGATCGAGGGCATTGAGAGCTACCACGACTTCATCCACACTGGTGGGGTGGAATTCGACAAGGAGCTGGACCAAGGGGTGCACTTGGACTTCTGGAACAAGATGAATGACACGGCAAAGAACATGGAGCGAGTCAAGAAGGTGAAACAAATGTTCAAGGAGCGCTTCCCTGACCAGCCAGGAGATGATGAGTTGCAGGCTCCAGCCTGCGATTTTGACTTTGAGAAGTTCTACGGGGCACCGCTGCCGACCACGGCAAGCACCACGACCACAACCACCACAACCACCACAACCACAACAACCACAACAACCACAACAATCACAACAACCACAACAACCACAACAACCACAACAACCACAACAACCACAACAGCTACAACCACCCCACTCACCACCCCAACCGAGGCGGCCACCACCACCACCACCACCACGACCACCACCACCACCACCACCACCACCACCACCACCACCACCACCACCACCACCACCACCACCACCACCACCACCACCACCACGACCACCACGACAACCACGACAACCGCGACCACCACCACCACCACCACCACCACCACCACCACCACAACAACCACAACAACCACAACAACCACAACAACCACAACAACCACCACAACCACCACAACCACAACAACCACAACAACCACCACAACCACCACAACCACCACCACCACCACCACCACCACCACCACAACAACCACAACAACCACAACAACCACAACAACCACAACAACCACAACAACCACAACAACCACCACAACCACAACAACCACAACAACCACAACAACCACCACAACCACCACAACCACCACAACCACAACCACAACCACAACCACCACAGCCACAACGACAACCACCACAGCCACCAGCACTACCACCACGACCACAACTGAGCCGACCACCACTGAGGCAGTAGCGACAACCATCGTTTTAACTACAACCACGGCTAGTTTAGTTTTGGCAGACATGACCACAACTCCATTTGGATGCGTGGACGTGGAGATGGGCAGCCACTGCCACACTGTGGTCACGTGGGCTAAGGACAAGGGCGTGCTGCTGCACCCCACTTGGTACTCTGGCTTGACAGCATCCTCCTCCTTCACAGACTTCCAGACCCACTTGCACAACGTGAATCCTACGGACTGCCCCCTGCCTTGCACACAGCAGTCCGGCTGCATTGCTCCCAAAGCCTGCAAAACCGCGGTGCTTTGGGCCATGGAGAAAGGCATTACGCTGCACCCCACATGGTACAACGGGCTCACCAAGGAGTCTTCCTTTGAGGAGTTCCAAGCTGCCATCCACAGAGGAGCTCCCACACAGTGCCCAATGCCTTGCGAGTCTATGATAACAGCCACAACTGCTGAGGCGATCACTGAAACCAGGGCAAGCACCACAAGCGAGGTGATCAGCACAACCCAGGCGACTGCAGCCACAACCGAGGCGACCACCACAGCCACAGCTACCGAGGCAACCCCTTCCGAGGTCGTCACCACCACCGAGGCGGTGATCAAGGCTACTTCAACAGAGGCAGCCAACACCGCAACGGAAGCTGAGAGTGTGATCGAATCTACTGTGACTCCGTTTGGATGCGTGGACGTGGAGATGGGCAGCCACTGCCACACTGTGGTCACGTGGGCTAAGGACAAGGGCGTGCTGCTGCACCCCACTTGGTACTCCGGCTTGACAGCATCCTCCTCTTTCACAGACTTCCAGACCCACTTGCACAACGTGGACCCTGCGGACTGCCCCCTGCCTTGCACACAGCAGTCCGGCTGCATTGCTCCCAAAGCCTGCAAAACCGCGGTGCTTTGGGCCATGGAGAAAGGCATTACGCTGCACCCCACATGGTACAACGGGCTCACCAAGGAGTCTTCCTTTGAGGAGTTCCAAGCTGTCATCCACAGAGGAGCTCCCACAAAGTGCCCAATGCCTTGCGAGTCTATGATCACAGCCACAACTGCTGAGGCGATCACTGAAACCAGGGCAAGCACCACAAGCGAGGTGATCAGCACAACCCAGGCGACTGCAGCCACAACCGAGGCGACCACCACAGCCACAGCTACCGAGGCAACCCCTTCCACCGAGGTCGTCACCACCACCGAGGCGGTGATCAAGGCTACTTCAACAGAGGCAGCCAACACCGCAACGGAAGCTGAGAGTGTGATCGAATCTACTGTGACTCCGTTTGGATGCGTGGACGTGGAGATGGGCAGCCACTGCCACACTGTGGTCACGTGGGCTAAGGACAAGGGCGTGCTGCTGCACCCCACTTGGTACTCCGGCTTGACAGCATCCTCCTCCTTCACAGACTTCCAGACCCACTTGCACAACGTGGACCCTGCGGACTGCCCCCTGCCTTGCACACAGCAGTCCGGCTGCATTGCTCCCAAAGCCTGCAAAACCGCGGTGCTTTGGGCCATGGAGAAAGGCATTACGCTGCACCCCACATGGTACAACGGGCTCACCAAGGAGTCTTCCTTTGAGGAGTTCCAAGCTGCCATCCACAGAGGAGCTCCCACAAAGTGCCCAATGCCTTGCGAGTCTATGATCACAGCCACAACTGCTGAGGCGATCACTGAAACCAGGGCAAGCACCACAAGCGAGGTGATCAGCACAACCCAGGAGACTGCAGCCACAACCGAGGCGACCACCACAGCCACAGCTACCGAGGCAACCCCTTCCACCGAGGTCGTCACCACCACCGAGGCGGTGATCAAGGCTACTTCAACAGAGGCAGCCAACACCGCAACGGAAGCTGAGAGTGTGATCGAATCTACTGTGACTCCGTTTGGATGCGTGGACGTGGAGATGGGCAGCCACTGCCACACTGTGGTCACGTGGGCTAAGGACAAGGGCGTGCTGCTGCACCCCACTTGGTACTCCGGCTTGACAGCATCCTCCTCCTTCACAGACTTCCAGACCCACTTGCACAACGTGAATCCTGCGGACTGCCCGCTGCCTTGCACACAGCAGTCCGGCTGCATTGCTCCCAAAGCCTGCAAAACCGCGGTGCTTTGGGCGATGGAGAAAGGCATTACGCTGCACCCCACATGGTACAACGGGCTCACCAAGGAGTCTTCCTTTGAGGAGTTCCAAGCTGCCATCCACAGAGGAGCTCCCACAAAGTGCCCAATGCCCTGTGACTAGCCCGTAGTAACACGGCTTAGTCGGCATTGTCGCACTGCACGTTTTTAGCAAATATTTGGTTTACCGCCTTACGAAGGCATGAATTTTGTTAACCTTCCTGAGCAATAGACTCAGTGCCAACTTTGAGCAATAGACTCAACACCAATTTTTGAGCAATAGGCTCGGTGTTTTCACAACGGTGATGTTGGTATATTAATACATGACGAATATACAAAAATACATTATAAACAAATATTGATATATTTATTTCTAATTTATAATTTATTTGAAATAAATAATATATATATATATACTCTATAAAACGAAACCGTGAAACTTGCTCGTCGCACTTATGTACGTTTTTCCGGACCGCTTTTCCGAAAAATTCCGTTATTTCGGAAAATTGATTTGGAAGATATAACCGTTTCATATTTCCTACGGATCGCTTGCCCAAATTTGTCCGGGTTACTCCGGCATATGTGCGGAAGATTTAGTGGCTTCATTTTTTGGTAGGGATTAATTTCCCGAAATATTCCAGATATTTTAGGAAAGCGGTCCGGGAATCGTAGCCATCCACCATTTTCTCGAAATATTCCGAATATTTCGGGGATTATTTTCCCGAAATATTCCACATATTTTGGGAAATGTTGTCGTCGAAATATCCGGAATATTTCGGAAAACTTGTCTGGAGTGCGATTATCGAAATATCTGGGATATTTCGGAAAAATGATCCGGGCTTTGAACAAAGCCGTTGTGTCTTCCAGATAAAGAGCCGGAAAAATATATCTGCTTGTCCGTAGCCTGAAATCTTGGCCCATCTTCCGAGAGTTTGGCGATGCGAGAAGCTATGAGCCGCGGCCGATTGTTGCGACCAGTGGTGTTTTTCCCAAGGCTTTGGGCGAAATCAGTTTGGCTTTGCCTGCACCCAGGATGTTTTCTGGTCGATCGCGTTTTCGCTTGCGCTTGCAACAACTGCGTGTGTGGATCTTTTGAGGCTAACAGCCCGCGGATCCGTTCTCAAATTGCTCAGGCGACCGTCTCCCGGCCCTCAGTGCGTCTCGCGACCTGTGTTTGGAGAACGGCAGCATGCTTTTCGCATGCGACAAGTATACATTGGTTGATACATATGAGATGATAAAGATGCCTGAGTTGCAAAAAGTGTCTTGCCGGCGCGGGCTCTATAAGATTTTCTCTGTTCTTGGCACACCCACCACGGCCTGGACCTTGCCCCTGAGAGCTCGGCCCTTTTTTGGCACCCGCCTCAACATACCCCTAATTGCTGGTTTGGATTGGTGGTTTGGGGATTGAAACCCTGGATCATGTTGAAGTGAATGGGAAACCACCCCCTAACCTCCAAAACGCCGATCCAAACTACCAATCCAAAGCGGCTGGCCGCGGGCCAGAATACAGCCGTCGTGGAGGGCAAGGAGAGCGGCGGGGCAGCGCCGAGACAAGCGCGTGACAAACCTTGGCCAGGGGACAAGCGGCCAGCGGCCGCGTGCAACTGGGGCACGCGCAGCCAAGAGCTCACACGCGCGTTCTTGCAGCCCGTCTGCATCACGGCTCTCGGGCTCGGAGTCGGACGCGTGCGCGTGCGCAGGCGAAGCCTGTGGCGTGTCGACATCAGAATCCGGCGCGCTGCGCGCCGGAGGTGTGTCTCTTTTTGTCTCTGTCTCTCTGTCGGTGTCTTTCTCTGTCTCTCTTTGTCTGTTGGTCTCTCTGTCTCTGGTATCTGTTTCTTTGTCTGTGTGTCTGTCTGTCTGTCTGTGTCTGTCTGTCTGTCTGTGTCTGTCTGTCTGTCTGTCTGTGTCTGTCTGTGTCTGTCTGTGTCTGTCTGTGTCTGTCTCTGTCTCTCTCTGTCTCTCTCTGTGTCTGTGTTTGCGTCTGTGTCTGTGTTTGTGTTTGTCTGTCTGTGTCTGTCTGTCTGTGTCTGTCTGTCTGTATCTGTGTGTCTGTCTGTCTGTGTCTGCGTGTCTGTGTGTCTGTGTGTCTGTGTTTGTGTGTCTATGTGTCTGTGTGTCTGTGTGTTTGTGTGTCTGCGTGTCTGTGTGTTTGTGTGTTTGTGCTTGTGTGTTTATGTTTGTTTTTGTGCTTGTGTTTGTCTTTGTGTTTGTTTTGTCTCTTGTTATTTTCTTTATTTTTGTTTTTGTGTTTGTTTTTGTCTGTGTTTTTGTTTTTGTGTTTTTGTGTTTTTGTGTTTGTTTGTTTGTTTGTTTGTTTGTTTGTTTGTTTGTTTGTTTGTTTGTTTGTTTGTTTGTTTGTTTGTTTGTTTGTTTGTTTGTTTGCTCGTTGGTTTGTTTATTTGTTTGTTCGTCGGTTTTTTTATTTGAAATTAATTTTTATGAATGTATGAAAAATAATTGCTATTGCGTAGATTTGGGAGTTTATCAAATTTAGGGCCTATTTTTTGTATTATTGAGAAAGATAGGACAATTTTAGTGGAAATTAAAAGATATTAAATTTAGGTATACACAATATTTAAGAATAAGGCTTAAGGGTCTAAGGCAAAGGCTTAAAATCAGAATCATTTATTTCTCGAAATATTTCGAAACCGTTTTTTGTTAAACGCTTGTTCGGTCTGCATATTTATTTTTATTATGAATATAATCGTGCATATTTGTTCCCCGAAATGTCGGCAAAATTTCCGGGGGCGTTCCGAACAGTGAAGAGGCAAGAGCTTGTGCCGCGAGAAAAAAGAAGAAACCGAGATAAGCATAGTTGTTCGCCGCAAACATTACGATTCGGTCGGAACACCGCTACAACGGCTCATCAATACACGAGACATGAGATCTCGAGGCTACCGGTTTATAGAAAAATATCTCACCGATTTTTAATATCCAATATTTATTATATAATATATTTACTCTATAAAACGAAACCGTGAAACTTGCTCGTCGCACTTGCGCGCGTTTTCCCGGACCGCTTTTCCGAAAAATCCCGGATATTTCGGAAAATTGGTCCGGACTGCCCCGGGAAGATGTAACCGCTTCATAATTCCTACGGATCGCTCGCCCAAATCTGTCCGGGCTACCCCGGCATATGTGCGGAAGACATAGTGGCTTCATTTTTTGTAGGGACCAATTTCCCGAAATATTCCAGATATTTCGGGAAAGCGGTCCGGGGATCGCAGCCACCCACCATTTTCTTAAAATATTCGGAATATTTTAAGAACCATCTTCCCGAAATATTCCAAATATTTCGGGAAATGCCATCGTCGAAATATCCGGAATATTTCGGAAAAATGGTCTGGAGTGCGACTCTCGAAATATCCGGGATATTTCGGAAAAATGGTCCGGACTTTGAACGAAGTCGTTGTGTCTTCTAGATCAAGAGTCTAGGCATATATCTTCCCATCCGTAGCCGTTGAACGAAGCCGTTGTGTCTTCCAGATAAAGAGTCGGGGCATATATCTGCCTGTCCGTAGCAATTTTAGCTGAAATCTTGGCCCATCTTCCGAGAGTTTGGCGATGAGATAAGCAGTCCTGCAACCACCTCCTGGCCGCGGGAGCGGCGGGGCAGCGCCGAGACAAGCGCGTGATAAACCGTTTTGCACTGGCTCGCTCCACAGGGCGAGGGCGCCAGGGGACAGGCGGCCAGCCGCCGCGTGCAACTGGGGCACGCGCAGCCAAGAGCTCACACGCGCGTTCTTGCAGCCCGTCTGCATCACGGCTCTCGGGCTCGGAGTCGGACGCGTGCACGTGCGCAGGCGAAGCCTGTGGCATGTCGACATCAGAATCCGGCACGCTGCGCGCCGGAGTGTCGGTGTCTTTCCCTGTCTCTCTTTGTCTGTTGGTCTGTCTGTCTCTGGTATCTGTTTCTTTGTCTGTCTGTCTGTGTCTGTCTGTCTGTGTCTGTCTTTGTCTGTGTCTGTCTGTGTCTGTCTGTGTCTGTGTCTGTGTCTGTGTCTGTGTCTGTGGCTGTTTGTGTCTGTGTCTCTGTGTCTCTGTGTCTCTGTGTCTCTGTGTCTGTCTGTTTGTGTCTGTCTGTCTGTCTGTCTGTGTGTGTGTCTGTGTGTCTGTGTGTCTGTGTGTCTGCGTGTCTGCGTGTCTGTGTGTCTGTGTGTCTGTGTGTCTGTGTGTCTGTGTGTCTGGTGTCTGTGTGTCTGTGTGTCTGTGTGTCTGTGTGTCTGTGTTGTGTTGTCTGTGTGTCTGTGTGTCTGTGTGTCTTGTTTGTGTGTCTGTTGTCTGTGTGTCTGTGTGTCTGTTGTTTGTGTGTTTGTGTGTCTGTGCTGCGCGCCGAAGGTGTGTCTCTTTTTGTCTCTGTCTCTTTGTCGGTGTCTTGCTCTGTCTCTCTTTGTTTGTTGGTCTCTTTGTTTCTGGTATCTGTTTCTTTGTTTGTCTGTTTGTTTGTCTGTTTGTTTGTCTGTGTCTGTCTGTGTTTGTGTTTGTCTGTGTTTGTGTCTGTCTGTGTTTGTGTCTGTCTGTGTTTGTGTCTGTCTGTGTTTGTGTCTGTCTGTGTTTGTGTCTGTCTGTGTTTGTGTCTGTCTGTGTTTGTCTCTGTGTCTGTGTTTGTTTGTTTGTCTGTCTGTGTTTGTGTCTGTTTGTGTTTGTGT